AACCGTTTCGTATTTTCCTATTTAATAGAAGATTTGCTTCATTAATTTGGATTCTCAAGCCAAAAAAGCAAATATATCAACATTTTACAAATTGACCGAAATAACTCCTTTAATCGAACGACACTAAGTGTCAAAAAGAAAATAAGCAATTCTTTATCGTTTTTTTTTTTTTTTTTGGCAGGAAACATCTCTTTACTGAGATCCTTAATAAATAAACAATCACCCTAAAACAAGTTCATATGATTGCCGCTCTAAACCATCAGTTGCACCATAATTCCTCACTATCACAGTCGGTTCAGACTCAACAATACCTCTTCGGTCAATTAAACTGAAAAAACCACTCTCTATTGGAGTATTTTTATAAATCAGGTATAATCTATACAAGATCACTGTAATAAAAAAGAAAAGTACAGATGGACGGTTCAAGTAATTTATGTGATTCATATTATCAGATTCCTTCAACTCTTAACAAAATCAACTTTTTTTTTTTTGTTTTTCTTTTAATTAAAAATTTCTCAGGGTACAACAATCGGCTTTCAACATCTTATATATCTTTAGTTTAGTTGGAATATGTACAAATAGCATATAATATGAAGATACTGAATTTTTCAATTAGCCTAACTCTTCCAAAAAAAAAAAAAAAGTTCAATTGTTACAATATAAAATTAAATCAAAACAATTGCATACCTTGGAGGTTCCGGAGCACACAATGTTCGAAAACAATTGGAAAATACAGAACCAGTATTATATGGATTTTGTATATGTGGGAATCGTTTCGAATTAAATGTTCCCTTGATATCTTCATTTGTTGTCTGATTTGTTAACAGTAAATATGTGTGAAAACCGGAAAGGCCAAATATTGACCAGATAGAGAAAAAACATACTAAAGCAATTATAAGCGATATAGGGCTTTGTCTTACTGCACCGAGAAACGCATTTTCTCTTTGTGACACTGCAACAAATAAAACATGCATCTTTGCAAACAGTTAGCTGTGAAAAAGAAAAAAAAAAAGTAACAGAACTTCTATTTACTTTTTTCCCGGCAGAATTTGAGGGAATTTCTAATAAATCAGCTTTGAATTTTTTTTTTTTAGATTTTTTCTGCTACTCTATATAAAAATCTGTCCCACAACAAAAACCAATCTGAATATCAATGAATGTTAAAATATAATATTCCGAAATATTTTAATCTAAAAAAAAAGTCATATATTATAGGGAGAGGCTGCGCGATCCGATCAAAGACCAAATGCATGCATTTAGGACAAAAAAAAAAATCTCAGTCCCCTTGATAACTCTTTCCTGACTCTAACATAAAGAAATCACGACTGAATATAACTTTGGTTATTAGCCACAAAAACTTTCTTCCATTATGAAGCGCGGTTGCTCCAATACTAAAAACAATCGACATAACACAAATGAGGAATGCAAGACATATTTGGAGAAAAAGTTAGCCATATTTCTTGGAGGAAAAAAACTGGAATTGGGGAAGGATTCGAATTAACAGTTAAACAAAGGCATTTCGTTGAAATATCACAATTTCCTATCTTAATAACTATAAGATTAGTGAATTACCGTGCAAACAATTGTTTATCTTTTCGGAATTGCTAAAAATTTACAAAGAGACAAGATAAAAACATACAGATCAAAGACTTACGAATGACAAGATGAAGACATACACAAGCAAATACAAACAGTGTCAGAACGGTGAGTGATACAATAAAAAAATAAAAATGACGATAATTTCGCTTTCCAACACAGTTGCCAACCCATGGACCTGTAAAGTTAATTGTTTACTCAACAACAGAAATTCTCAATAAATAAAAAAAAAATATTTGGTAGATTTTTCAAATGCCAACGTAATGATTTTGAAACTTCTACGTGAATTCCAGTAAGGCATTTTCTATTTAGCAATTCAACTAATCTTTATCCTCAAGTATATACTAATATAACATTTGTTGTATATTTCGAAGAAATAGTTCTAAAAAACTTCGATTTTTTCAGACAAAAAAAGCAGTGATAAGAAACTAGCAGTGATGGTCGAAGTTTAAAATGCAGTTGTCGCATACGGAACAGTGAGAGGAACGTGGTGGACGAAATAAGCGACAAGTGAAGCAATATTTCAATTTGATAAGTTGGCCGTTAATGCGCACTGCTTTGGTGCGTGGAGGTGGTCGCACTGCTTCTGGCATATTGCTTTCTAAAGAAAACCTTCAAAACAGATTGCACAACACTGATAATTGAACTAAAACTTTTTTATTAACAAAAAAAACGAAAGCAATACTTCAATTAGAAGAAAGCTAGCAAAATCTGCATGCTTCGCACAATGCAAATTTAAAAAGGAAATTGAAAAACGCAGCACTATCACCAACAATTAAAACATTACTGTCCAAAATTATCTGATTGTACTAGGAAGTCCAAAAATAGCATGGCATTCAAGAATTAGGAATTCTCAGATGATAAATTAGTAGCATAAACATTTCATATTGTCCACTTATGGGTATATGACTCGGATCATTTCAACATGACAACAGGATAGAGTGAATAAAGTTGAAAGGTCAAAGCATACACCAAAAGCTCACATGCAATTAAAAGAAGACTGCTATCTTTATAAATTCTGGAGAGAATCACCTGCAATACATTGTCGGTCAGCTTCGATAGCTTCCAAATTTGTAGCTTTCGGTAATATCCCTGGATCAGAAAATGATGTCTTGAATAAATTAACTAGCACAAGGCACAGTAATATTCCCGCAACTATTGGAAGAGCCGGTGAAACGTTCCAAAATAGATATGGTGCACTGTAATATTATCATACTAACAGCTAATAAATAAATTATAGCCTATTGCTAAAATCATTCCAGTAGCTTTATTATAAACTTTATTAAATCCAACTGCCTTATTATAACTTTTAATACTTCATTTGCCCCACTAATAAATAACTTTTATTAATAGATACGAATACGGATGTAAAATAAAGATCCTTAGTTCATGATACAAAATATCTTACTAATACTGATTTAAAGAGCAGTATTCTTTACCATTTACAAGTTTACTTGAAAATGGTACACTGTTTTACGGTTGGGAATTTAAAAATGGGAAAGTAAAACATTTTCACTTTCATGCACTTTACATGATTTTTAACTGTCAATCTCAACTGTCAATCTCTTTCTGCCTGTCTAATAAATGCAAAAACTTAGGCTAAAAAAAAAACTAACTCAAAGACGAAAAATAAACCCATCGTTCCAGTGATAACCATCAAAGTGAAAAGAAAGATGGAACTTTGTCGTGCCATAATGATTCGACCATCACACCAAAATTGATTCCGCCCCTGATGATATCGCCATTTCCGAGTTCCAACTTTAGCCATTGGTGGCTCATTTATTTCACATTCCAAGCCTAATCCATTCAAAGGCCCTCTTCGGGCATTTTCCTGCTTTATCATTTATAATAAATTTACGATAAATCTAATCTTAAAAAAGTTATAAAAAATTTAATATCACAAGAATTTTTTCCATTCTCACTTTAGTCATCTCAAATTCCTAAACTATCAGTTCTTATAGCATTGATAAGTACAAAGCTTTAGAATGACTTTAATAGAACAAACTAATCAAACAGATGATAATTTGATACTCTACTAAGCTACATTGTTAAAATACTAAGCTACATTGTTAAAATACTATATAATAAGTATTATCAATAGGATTGGAAAACAAAGAAGGAAAGAATTAGCATAAAAACAAGAATTATTGTAAGGAATTTTTTCTCTACAAAATTCATCGTTTAACTACCATGCAGAATAAATTTGAGATTTTAGAAAATTTCAAGAATTGAAAAAAAAAAAACGATGGTAAAAACAACAAACCTGGTACTGTTTCATAAGCAAACAATAATAAAATCTTCTGTAATCAATTTCAAAACAATACAATCTCATGAAATGAGTAGTGCAAAGTAGCACAAAACCCATTCCACTTATAACCACGCATTATTCTTTACCTGTAAAAAAAAAATAAAAAAAAAAATCGGAGAAATTAATCTAATAAATTTCGCAAAAAAATTTTCAACGACATTGAATTTTTTATTATTTAGAATGATGCACATTGCTAAATTCGTATTTGAAATATTTCAATTCGTAGCATCACTCTAATCAATCAAGCCAAAATGTTAATGATTATTTTTTTTTTTTGCCTTTTTTTTTTGATGATTAATTAAAGATATGATTTGCCAAAACAAATATTTCTAAGTTAACTTATACAAACAGAAAAAAAGATATACTGAATAATATTAGTCATTTCAAGTGCAGTATGTAATCAAAAAGTGTTAGTTTCATCAATATTACATAATAATTATTACAATATCAATATGTGAATTGATTGTGAGAAAGAGAGAGAGAGGGAAAGAGGGAGAGAGAGAGGGAGGGAAGGAACAATCATTAAAAAATGTTTAAGTAAGAAAAATTGACAGGGAAACATGAATATAACAATAACTAGAATTTAAAAAAAGAAATAAAAAGGAAAGAAAAAAAAACTGTCTAGAGAAATTTCACCAACATACACTGATTACTGCTTCACTTCAACTTTTACTCCTTCAAGAAAAAAGAAAGAAATCACGCGCATCCATCATCCCATCTTGTATGCTGGTTAATAATTCACGGACCGTGAAATTGCTGAAACGAGCAGTTGACGTTGGAATTTAAGTTTTTCGTATTCCCGAATTGTCGAGACTGGCAGGAGTAGTAGAAGAGGGAGAAGAGAGATGGTAGGCTTTATAGTTCTGCTCTTCTTATTATATAATTGAAATTTCAGATGTTTATAATTGAACTGTATAATTGCTAAAAAAGAAAACATAATGAACAATGCTTTTGATGCAAAGATTATATTCATTCTATGTTGTTTCATGATACAAGCAAGAAAAATTTTCCGGTTTTCAGTTTTACTTTTCAAACTGCCTTTGATCTTAATGTTTTTTCAAATGGCAGGAATAGAATTAAAATGTGATTTCGATTAATGAAATTAGAACTTCACTATAATTTGAAAACAATGCTTTCAATGACATTTGCAATGATAAAGCCGGAAGCCGTTGCAATACCATATATTACCAAGGTTTGTCTCATTTTCAACCTTCTCCTATCTTTATCAACATCCCTATTGTTATCAACACTTTTTATCAACAATGTTTGAACATCAGAATAGTAACTGTTTCATCCTTCCTTCATCAACACATTCATATTTCTTTTGTTTTAATAAATTATAAAAAGATGAATAAATTTGAATGCTCTTGCTGTATGCGTTTTTTTGTTTGTTTGTTTGTTAGCATTTAAGCGGATTTGAAAAACTACGAAAATTTAATGCTCTGCCTGGTTGGCTTAGTTTATTCTTTAACTCTGATGTTTTAATAGCTGGAAAACTATTGAATGATTCTGAAATTTACAGTTAGTCTACTGAAAATCTTGGAAATTCTTTCATAGAATAAAAACTGTCTTGACATGTTTTAACTTAAGTTGAAGTTCTTGTAAAAATCTAGAAAATAGATTGTTATCATTTTGGTCATATGGTCGTAACTTTTTTGTATTTTAAAATTGAATCATACACAATATGTATATACATATAAATAAACCATACAATATGTAACAGCAGAGGAATCAAACAAATTTGTTTTCAAATATTTGTTCTTGCTATACTGCATTTATTTTATAATTGTTTAGGTTATTTGGGATGAAATTTTGGTTAATAAGCTGGAAATTATAGGAGCAAAAAGGATACATTTGAATAGAGAGATGGCTAAGAAATTGTATGCAATACATGAAGGTAAGTTGTTTTATACTTACCAACGATTATGTTTTAAATAAATTATGAAATAAAAATGCATTTAAACAACAAACTGAAGTAAGGAAATATGAATAATTAATTAAATGGAATGAATGTTTCCATAATTTAGTTGCATTTCAAAAAAAAATTGTAAACTCTGGAAAGATTATTATGGGATTGAATAAGTAAGTATTAGAGGATTGAACCATGTAATTCTAACAAGGAACGATCCTGCAGTTATTTTTAGGATTAATATATAATGTTAAAATTCTGGAAATCAAGACTTGAAACTGAAATTGTAGATATTGTATAAGAATTTTGCTAATTGTACAATATTTTTGCTAATCATAGCCCTGCTATTCAATAATTTCAAAATTATTGCATTATGCTTACAAGTATATTATGATGTTATCTAACAATGTTTTGTGTTAATTTGAGTCTAACAGCACTCTTTGCAATCACGAAACATTTCAGTCTTACTTTTTTTTTTCTTTAGATTATGAGTAATGTACTTTTTTTTGCAATTAAATATTGCTAAATAATAATGAAATAACTGGTGATTTGCTTAATGAACTAACAAAGTAACTGAAAGAAAAATGATAATAGTAATAAGAACAGCTATTAAAGCTTCAGCTATTTTTGTTTGCTACCAGCACTGATGTTTTCTAGAAAAGCCACTATTGATTTTAGATATTAATATCGATATGTCATTGTGTAGAAGTGCATTTTATTTACTACTCTATTTTGCAGTACGTTTACTCTTGTCGTATGCGTTTTTGTTTGTTTGTTAGAGTTTAAGTGGATTTGATAATCTACAAAAATAATATGTTCTGTTTTATTTAAATTTTTTTCCCTCAAATGCTTATTATGTTAATTATAATCTAAATTTTTAATTCATCATTAGTTTTCTAATAACTTTCCATATCATTATTCAGTCTTAGTTCTAATCTTGTTGATATTTCTCAATTTTACGCTCTTTTCAATTTATACAAAAGGAAATGCTAAGCCTCACTTCACATCTGGGAACATTAGAAATTTATTTGTACTAGTGAACTGAACATAAAACGTAGGAGTTAGCATTGAAAGAGGAGAAATTGAAATGAAGAGTTAAGATGTAAAAATAATAGTTTTCGTAGAAATGGATTGGATTGAGTGGATAATGAACGTTAATTAAACTTACATACATTTTTTGGATAGCCATTTTTAAATACTATCTATCATATTTTTCAGCTATATCTAGTGGTGTTTTTTTTTTTTTTTTCAATATTTTCCCTGGGAATGGGCTTGTTTTCCCCTTTTATATGTTGTAATCGATTTGTTTTGTAGGAAAATTTTTCTATGAACGACTCATTCAACATGTCATAAGGTAAGTGGTTAAAATTAGAAAAATGTTGAAAGTTCAGGTTGATTGGCAAAATAAGTGGAGAAAAAAAAAAAGATGGAGAAAAATTTTTTATTAGGACAGTAACAAATATGCAGTTGCACGATGATTCTGCTGGTGTAAAATTATAAAGCGACAAAATGATTTTACAATGAAAAAAAAAAAAATGAAACTTTATCAACATTGAAATAGTTTATTTGGGAGGCAGCAGTTACACCACTATGTTTTGAAATTTTATTATCTATAAATTTGTAATCAAAAATTCTAACTTAAAATCTTTTTACTTAGTATTAAATGTCATCAATAAATAATATGGTAATAAAGAAAAAAAAAGAAAAAACTTTGTTGCATATTGGTTATGGTAAAATTTTCTTCACAAATTTACAAGGATTATTAGTAGATTAGATTGATTACATTGATTTGATGTGTTTGATATTGAAAATTTGATGATTATCAGTGAAATGATAGATGTTTTAACTTGAAATGTAAATTCAGTGGACCAGTGATAGTGATGAAGCTTGGATGTGCAACAGGTAATGCAATTGAACGATGGCGTGCATTAATGGGGCCGTCAAAAATGTTGCGAACATTGCAGCTGCAGAATATTTCATCATTGCGAGCTCGTTTTGCACTTTCGGATACACGTAATTTGGTACATGGAGCTGATTCACAGCAAACTGCTAACTATGAATTGAGTTTATTTGCACCGTATCCGGAAATTAACCTTCAAAGTATATTACCAAAAGTTAGTTGCTAATCTTTACGTTAGTATGTTAATCAAACTTTTTACAAATAACAGTTAAAGTCGAATTGTTAATTATTTTATAATGTTTAAAACTTGAACCAAAAACACTATCACTTATCATTTAGATTTACACGTTTAATTTCAAAATGAGGAAATATGCAAAAATGATTAATTTAATGAAAATTTATCCTTGTATATTTATCTTATTTAATATTTTTATTCATAATTTTTCTTTTACACTTTTCTTTTAGATTATTTCAATTAAAATTAACTTTTCCTCTTTTTATTTAGTTCATTAATTATATTTTAATAGTGAATTTCAAAAATAAATATGCATAAATCCCTGCGGAGATTTGTCTTTTCTTGTATTTATAAATGGAGCAAATGACCAACATCTAATACCTTCTTTTCATCCAACTCTTATCATCTCTTTACCTGAATTATACATGAGATATAGTAGGAGACAAGAAAATGAAATGACATGAGAATGGAGAAAATTGGTGAATAAATGGTCGAATTGCCTTAGGGCAATACCTACCTTCCTTATGATTGTTGCTTCGATGAGTTTGTATTTATTTGTGTTGTATTCTTATGGAGTCAAATTTTGCCATTTGTTGAATTTTCAATCTATTCACTAATTTTAAAGCATTTACAATTAAGTTTAATAAGCGAAAATTGACAACTAATTGAAATAATTCCTCCCAATTTCATATATGTATTTCGAAAAGTAAAGGCATTTAATTTTATTGTATGACACAAATTTTTCAAATTTGAAGTACATTTACATGAAATGTGCAGTACGAACAGATGTATAACGATAAGTGGACATAGACGAACATAAATGACAAATGTAGATTCAAAAAAAAAAAAAAAGAAATCATTATAATTTGGACGATAAGATTCATGCAGCAATTTCCTTATTTTGTTTATCGTATCGCCGATTTGTCGGATCTCTTCCATCTTTCCTTTCAATTTCTCATCATTTCTTAACAATTTAACTCTTTCAAGAGATTATCCGGGCATTTCTTTTCGGTTAATTCAAAAGATATGGAAAAGAAATGAAAGAGAAGAGAGGATTTGCCATTAGTTTACTATATATGTCAAATTTCGGGACGCCATTAAATTGTCACTTTCTCATTCTTTTAAATTATGGAAAGAGCAAATCAGTGATTTCACCAATAATTTCATTTTTCATGTTCAGGAAATAATTTCTACTATAAGTCAAAATAAGCAACTATTCAGTTACTACAGGATTTATTTTTATTCAGAAAAAAAAAAAGACCACAATGATGATAATTGCTATCATTTTATGCTTTCTTTTCAAAAATTTCTATCATCTTCTGGATTTCATCTTCATAAAATAACTGCATCTCTTTTTATTTTCCGAAATACAGATTATAAATTACTCATATGAATTAATGGATTCTCGTGCGTAAGTTTTTCTTTTTTTTTTTTTTTTTTTCATCCAACATGAAATATGAAAGCAGAACATTTTTTGATGAAAAATAACTATTTATTTTTTAATTTCAATGTTTCTGTTCGAATGCTATTTTAACAATTATTATGACAAAAGAAAAAAATGAAGAATTTAGAAATTCAGAAATGTTTTAAACAAATACAAACAAAGTATAACTTTAAGTGATAAAAATGAGAAAAAGTGAAATTTCGTGGAATTTAAGCTTTTTGCATTTCAAAAAGATTTTTTTTTTCTTTGGCGAATGTTAATTATTACTCTTCAAGTATATCTGATATTTTCTAACTTTTTTCAGTTCTGAAATTTAAATAATGCAGATTCTTTGTGCTACACATTCATGAAAATTATCGCGTAGGAATCATGTGACCTACTTTCGATATTTTTCAACTATTATTGTTTGATGGAAAAGGGAAATAATAAAATCTCATTATTACCATCACATTTTTAAACTTTCAAAATATCATTTCATAGCTACAAAATTAATTTATTAATTAAGCATATCAAGTATAACTCACAAGAAATGAAAATTTCTAAACAATATTTTTATATTAATATCATCTATTATATAATTATGTAGTTTTTAAAATCCATTTAATATTTAAAAACAAAAAAAAAAACCGGTTGAAATTTTATAGTTTAACATTATTTCTTTATTGCATACACATTATAGTTTTTATTCTTTTATTTACAAAAATAAGAAGAGAAGGAGAAAAGGAAGAAGAGAAAGGGAGAGAGAGAGAGAAAAAAAAAGAAAAAGGAGGGAAATGGAAGTAAAGGTAAACAACACAAGCGCATAAAATCATGATATCATCAATTAAAATTACATATAAATGATTACTTATAATTACCGGAACATGACAAATAATATACGTTTGCATTTTATGCAGACGTACGTGACAGGCTTGCGACTAGATTCTAGATGAGGAGTGAAATAGAAAAAAAAAAAGTTGGAACGAAGGAAAAAGGATTGTACAGTGATTTAACTTTCACTATTATTATTAACGATCAAATTTAGTCTAATTACTACTATCTCTATTAATTCATTAATGCTATCTCTCATTTCTAGAAAGTGTCTTAAAATTTGTTATTCATTAATACTTCAAAAAAAAAAAATTTTTTTGCTTTTTTAAAAAAATTAAAATCTCTTATGCGCAATCATTTCAAACAGAATGACAGGATAAAATAGGGGACAAGAATGAAAAAGGACGGGGAAAAAAGACAAGGATAAAGGTGAAAAAGAGGGGAGGATGGGTGTGGGGGGGAGGTGATGAAGACGAAGCGAACAAGAAGAGAGGACACAAAAGCAAAATAAAAAAGTAAAAGAAGAAAAAAAAAAGTAAAATCACAGTTTAAGTATTCTATTGACAATAATACGTGACGAAAAAAACAAAGAAAAAAAAATTCAAATTCATATCAATGCAAACTTTTATTATTTTATTAGACAAATTTAAAATTTGAAAAATAATTAATTTTGTTTTTTAAAAAAAAAAAGTATTATCTTTATCTGATCGAATTGACTTATTTATTTCAATTTCACTCATCTTTCCTTCCATTTTTTTTTATCTTTTTTTTTTAATTTTTAATTTTTTGAAGAGGTAAAGAAAAAGGAGGTATGAAAGAGCAAAAAGAGAAAAAGAAAAAAGAAAAAAAGAATGGAAAAATAGAAAATGAAAATTGTATGCTTGATAGATTTCTTTCTTTTTCCTTTTTATTCCTCTATTTCGTAAGAATAACTTTATTTTTTTTTTTTTTTAATTGTAGAAATTAATTTAGCAATTAATTCGAATGAAATCAAAAAAAAAAAAAGAAAAAAATCAATTCGATCAGTAAGAAAATTAAATTAATGGATGTATACAAACTAGCGACAACTACAAAAGTTCCTAGCCACTTGCCTGCTGAAGATCATTTTCAAATTGATGGATAATTGACTGATTGATTGATTGTTTAATTTACATGTTAAGTCAACAGCATATATTTTTATGAAAATTTGAAATTAAAGATATTAAATGAAGTAATTTACTCAAATTAAACAAAAACAAAAAAAAAAAAAATTCTTACTTGTTGAATCATTTTTTAAATTTAAAGTACATTTTTTCTTTCTCTTAATTTTCTCTTTGATATTAAAATAATCCAATCAATAATTATTATAAACTATTTGAATTTCATGCTGAGACAAAACGTACAGATATATATATATATATATATAATACATATAAAAAAATAAAATAATTAAAAAAATAGCTTACTATTAATACAATGCAATTTTTAGATTTGCATAAATGCAAAAAAAAAAAAAAAAAAAGAAGGCATGTAATGTCAAAATATATATATATCAGAAAAGTTATTATGATTTTTTAAAATCATGAAAAAATTTGAAGAAAAAACAAAATTGTTATAAACAAATTATTATAAAAATTAATTTAAGGCCAAAAAAAAAATGATGCAAAGTTTAAATTGACAAAAAAAAAAAAAAAAAATTGATAATTATTGATTTGAATAATGAAAAAAGGAAAAACGAAGTAGAAATTAAAGCATTAAGCAGTTGAAAAAAAATCGAAAAAAAAAAAATTAGCCAATTTTTGTGATAGATTTTTTTTTCTTTTCTTCTTCTCTTCTTTAAATTTTATTTTTTCGTTTGAAAAAATATATAATAGAAAAATTAAAATTTATAAAATTATCAGTTAAACAGTTTCAATTTTGTTTGTACTTTTTTTTTTCTACTTTATAGATTGTGTGATAATTTTTTTATGAATAAAAAGAGAAAAATAAAATTAGAAAAAAAAAAAATGAAAATGAATTTGGCTTTATTATGTTGCTTGTGAAAAATGTGTTGGCGGTAATTCAACAAGCGTTACTGTACAACATGATGGATCATCTTGCGCTTGTTCAATATCAATGATAAAGGTATCCTCGTTACAGTAATGCTTCAACATATCATCATCCAATTTTACAGTTACACCTTTTGTGCACTGCTTAAATAGACCCGATATCTGCAACAACAATAATTTGAAATTAAAATTATCATTAGAGTAGCTTAAAATGATTATTATCATAAAAAAAAAATAATGATATGCTATGAAATACAATAATAATTATCATTTGAAACAATTACATTAATATATTAACAATACTAATAATACTAATAATCTTGTTAAAAAATTTTTGTAATAGTTTTTAGTAATTTTATTTAAAATATTCAATAAAGTTATTTAAAAATTTTTATAATTATTTATTTGTTATTTATTCGCTTGTTTATTTATTTATTTACTCATTCATTTGTTTAAATAAGTATTATATTTAATTATTAAAAGCAAAAAAAAATCTACTTTTTATTTTTGAGCAAAATAAAAAACATAATTGTTTATGAAAATATCATTGATTAAAAAATAACGATGTAAAGAGAGTAATGAATTACCTTATCACTTTCAACACCAAATTTTTCAACAACTGCTTGTATAAAACCGGTTAATGAGGGAGGTATAATATGCAATGGCGTATAAATTTGTTCATCTCGTTTCCTTACGTATAGCATTACTGAAATTTACACTTAACTTTTATCAGTGCTTAAATTTTTTTCAATACATTGTAATTAATTTAATTATAAATATATGAGTATAAAGATAATAAGTTTGTATGTGAATGCATACGTAATACACATACACGTATGTATTTGCGTGCACGTGTACGTATGTATGTGTGTATGTACTAATACTTCATATTTTTGTAGCTCATTGTAAATTTCTAAAAATTTTTTTTTTACCCAAATTTTTTTGGCTCTTTTAGATATTTTAAAAAATCGTTAAATCAAAAAAAAAAGAGGAAAAAAGGAAAAAAGAAAAATTACGAAAGAAATATTTGAGAAAAAAAAAAAGGAAAAACGGATGTACGCAAATAAAAAAGAAAAAAAAAAAAAACGAAAAAGAAAGAAATGGGAAATTGTGATAGCGTACGATTCAATTAAAACTAAATTTTTTTCATCATTTCCATTTTTATTATTTACAGAAATTGAATTTTCAATTTCAAATAAAAAAATGAAAAAAAAAATGAAATATACGAATATTTTAGAAAAGGATAAATTATTAAAATAATTACAAAAATCTTTAAATTTATCAACAAATATTGCATATTAATTTATAAATGTTATTATAAAGTGTTATTTTCAATCTTTATTTTAGAAATTTAATGAATATTCACCATCAAAAAAAAAAAAAAAAAACCTTTATTTATATTAAAAGTGGATAATTAAGGAGAAAGACAATAATTTGATGGTGAATATTCATTAAATTTAAATGGCAGGAAGATTTGAACTGATTTAATTATCAGTAATTAAATGTTTGAAAAAAAAAAAAAGAAAAAATGAAATACAGTATCCAAAAAAAAAAAGGAATAAAAAAATGTGACATACGATTTGTTGAACTAATCATCATCACATTATTATTATCATTTCATGACAAGCAATAGTGTAAAGTAGCTTTTTGCAGGTATACGGTATTAGTTGAATTCAAGCACAGCCAATCAAATGCCAAGTAATGGGCATTTTTACACTATTGATTTTATCAACGTTTGCAATAATTGCTGACATTTACTAGTAATGAATGAATGATAATATTCTATCAACATTTTATCTATTAATTAATTAATTAATTAAAAATTAATTAATTAGAAACTATAATAATATTTTATCTTCAAAATTAATGCAATAGTAGTAGTAGTAATAGTAATATTTGTCGCTGTTGTTGTTGTAATATTAAATTAAGAAAAATGTGATATCATTTAAAAAATGAAAGTAACAAAAGTGAAATGAGAAAAAAGAAAAAGAAATAAAGCAAAAAAAGAAAAAAAAAATGTTTGAAAATTTTGAAATAATTATAGTTGCAAAATTATCATAAATCATTACTTTCTTCTATTAATTTAATAAAATTAAACCTTTAGTATTTAATTCTTTTCTATACTATCTTTTTTTTTTTTTCAATAACCTCTAAAATTTTTATTTGTGCATGAGAAAAAAAAAAAACTACAAATAATTTAATTTTTATCATAATCTTAAAGATATTAATTTTTGTCAAAAAATTCCAAATATATTACTAAACTTTTATTTATAATTAATTTCTATACTTTTATTTACAATTAATTAATTATGAATAAAAAAAGAAAGGAAAAATTTTGTTTGTAGGAACTTTAAAATTAATCAATCAATTTTTATGTGTTATTTTGAAGTGACAATAAAAAAATTTTTATAGCAAAATCTAATAAACTTAAATTGATGAAAAAGTTTTATAACTTGAAAAATGAAATGAAAATGATAAAATAAAATAAAAATAAAAAAATAATATATGCAAAACTTACTCCTTTCAGATGTTCTAGGCCGTTTTGTAACCGGTTCTAATTCTGATAATGGATCAAAAGCAAGGCTACTTTCAAGGTAACGTGAATCATACTCATCAGGTCCAATAAATAAAGCAGCACGTTTAGTTAGATCACTCATATGATAAAATTCGGAACGTTCACATGGTTCATGGTATTCACCATCTGATTTTTTACGTCCTATAATATTGTTTACTCATCTCTTTTCTTTTTTTTTTTTTTTGAAATTTAAAGGTAAACATTTATTGCATATTGTTAAAAAAGCGATAAAAGCATCCAATATAAATTATATATGTTTGATAATAAAAGAAAATAAACAAAAAGTTAGCATTTATTTTTTTCTTTTTTCTAATTAAAAAAAAAATAATAATAATAATTGTTGATAAATATATAATTTTATTCTTGTTTTGTTATCATTTCTTAGATGCTTTTGTCATTTAAATTTGTAAACAAATAAAAGCATTGACATTAAATTGACGTATACGTTTCAATAAAAATTTTTGACACAAATGTAACAAATGAGCAAAAAAGAAAAAAAAAAAGGAAAAGGAGAAAGAAAAGAAAGAGTATTTAGAGAAAAGAAGAAGACGAAAAATGAAACAAAATTTTCTAATAAACAACCTTGAAGTCTGCGTTTTTCATCTCTTCGCGTCTCATGTAGCATTTTTCTGTTAGCACCCTATAAAGCTTTTTTACCAAGGAAGTTAAAAAATATTATAGCAAAAAAAAAAAAGAGAGAAATAAGTAAAAAAAAAAAGCATTTATTTTGTTATGTTACAGTAAGCTATAAGTAAAAAAAAATATATATTATAGCAAATTAGCTGATTTGAAAAGCAAAATTAATTTTAAAATATTCTATTTTCATATGTTATCAAAATTACATTTTTTTTTCCCTTTTTATACAACAACTTTATTATTGTTTTTGTTTTTGTTGTTGTTGTTGTTGTTGCTATTATTGTTATTGTTTTTGTTATTATGCATAAATAACAAGGACAAAATGACGACACAAAGGCACACAAAATTATCACAATAATTTTAAAACACAATAGCTAAGCGCAATAAAAAAATGATTATTGTTGTAGCCAAGGATATCAGTAAATACATATATATAAGTTTAGAATTATTTATTTTAAATGAAAAATTTTGAAAAATTAAAAATTAAAAAAAAAAATATAAAAAATATTAGAAATATTTTTGAATAAAATTGAAAAAATTATGATATTCTTGGCTATAACAAAAGCATAGACAATAAAGCCATTTTCAAATTATTATGCGCTTATTTATTTATTCTTTTTCTGTTTTCAATTATCTCAATTACCTGTTAATTTACGCTTTTGAGCCCTTTTGTCCTCGTCACGTAATTTTCTTTCTGCTCCCTAAGTTAAAAAAAAAATTTTTGTTTAAATTTTTTTAACAATGTTAAATTAACATAAATTTTATTCATATGAATTTAATTTTCAATCAATGATAAGCCAAAAAAAAAAGGAGGAAAAGATATAGTAAAAGGAATAAATTAATGTTTTTTGGTTTTTTTTTTTTCTAACAACCACCAATGATTCAGAAATAAAATACAGTAATTTATACTGAAAAAATTGAAAAAAAATGATACATTTCGAAATTTTTAAAGGAAAAAATGATTTAACGATTGTTTTTTTTTTGATAAAACTTTATATAATAGTGTAAATCATACAATTCATCGAACAAAGTTTGATTTAAACTTTTTCAACTATAAATTAAAATACAATGACAAGAATTAATATTTGATATTCAAATCTGATTTCAATTTCAAATGAGGGCAAATTTTTAAAATTAATAAAACATCATATATCTAGAAGTAGTAGTCAATTACAATTACTATAAACAATTTTAATTTTTTTCTTTAACTGACCAGAAAAATGTGATTAACAAATATTTAATTTAAAAAAAAATTTTTAAAAATTTTATTACAATTATTGAAAAAATTGAATTAATAGCTAAATAGAATATTGCAAAATTGATAAGCTAATGACATTTTCTGAACCACTATGAAAAGATTATCACCAAAAATAAAAAGAAAAAAATTTCTTTTTTCATTCAATCAAACGTCTATGAAATTTAATGCTGCGACACATATATCGTATTTTTTTTTTTTTATTTTCAATCATATAAATATGAAAATTACAAATAATACGTCTTTTTATTAAGATCTGAAAATCTTTGTCAAAATTTGAAGTCAAATTAAAAATTGAAATTGTGAACAGTTGACTAACCTTATCACAAAATACTTTAATTTGGCAATATCCTCGATGAAATGGTACATCGGTATTATCATTTTCATCGTAAGTATCAATTTGAATATGAAGTGGAAGACCTTTGACACCTTTTTGATTACTAAAATCTGTTGACAAACACTGCACTGCAATGCTGATCTAAAAATTTATATGTAAATAAGATTTTAAAAGATGTCTTATTGAATTCTAGTTTTTGTCAAAAAAAAAAAAGTAAATATTCTGATGATTAATGGAAATTTCGGAGGAAAAATCCAAGAAATGGAATACTGTAAAAAATGTCAATCGAAGAAAAATTAAAAAAAAAAAAAAAAAAAAAAAAAAGAATCTACTCATCACTTTCAGTTGCATTCGTTTGATGAAGTGAATTTATCAAGTTTTTTTAATCAATCAATCGATTAATCAATCAATTGATTGATCAATACAGTAGACATTAATTCGACTTCCACACATATTAGTGTACTTTAAATTTGCTATTAATAAATTAATCACTGTCAATAATTTACGATGTTACACTTTCTTGGTAAAATCTAAATTCATCTAAAATATTTTAAATAATAATGAAATTTTATTTTTGACAATTTAATTATTTCCCTCATTTTACACGTCCTTTTTTTTGAATTTATTTATTTATCTTTTTGTACATTTTAACTTATTGATTTTTAAGTTTTGAATTTTATTTTCTTATTAAATATTTTTAAGATTGAATTGGTGGAGAACAGAAGTAACAATTGTTAGTTACTGCTTAAGAGATTGAATGAAAAAAAAATTAATAGAATGTAATGATTGAAATATAAATAACTATTAAAATAGAGCTAAATTATAATCAATTAATTAATTATTACATATTAATATCATTTTGAAGAAGGAAAATTTAGTTAGCAAAACAAAACAGAACATAATTTGTATAATTTGATGTTAATAATTAATTAATTAAAAAATGTGATTGCTTTATATATTGAAAATTTGAAATAATTATGTTTGAATTTTAGTCTTTTTTTTTGTTTATATATTATAAAGACTTAGAGATATGAAAGAATTTATAGAAATTCAAAAAAAAAAAAAAAAAAAACAAAATGCTAAATAGATTCAAACAAGTCATCAATGACTATGAAAATAATTGATGAAGAAGTTAATAACAACAAGTGATAAATTGATTACTGATAAGAGTATAAATATCTGATATAGTGATAACTGATAACTAACTTTAACACTTGATTGCTCCGTTGGATTCCAATAAAATTGTACAGCATTATGCGCAATTTCCTCAATTTGTCCAATCATGCCAGAGCTATTTTTAGCATCAATTTCTAGAATTCGTTGTTTAACCGAATGTTGCCTAGAATGCCAGAATTGCCAAGTTTTAATCTCTTCCTCATATGTTTTATCTTCTCGAAATACAATCATTAATTGACTCTGAAATAAATAAATAAGATAAAATCATAAAGAAATAAATATAAAATAAAGAATTATATAAAATTAATAAATAAATAAATAAAACTAAATAATTAAAATCAAGCAATAATAAATGAAAAAATAAAATTTTTATTGTTAGCTATATTTTTTTGTAAATTAATTAAAATTATGGTTTTTTTTTGAAAATTTTTAAATTTAAAAAATAAAAAGCTAGTTTAGCTTTTGTTTTTTGTTTTTTTTTAATTATTAAATAACAAAACGGAAGATTTATTTTTTTTTTCTCAAGAAATTTTTACTAAAATTAATTTTGAAAATTTTTTAAATAAACATAAATAACATTTGTCACATCTAATTGGTAGGTAAGAAATTTTCACAATACTATCACACCTGGATGACTGAAATAGAAAGTATCATTTTGAAATGGGTCTGGTTTTTTTTTTTTGTAACACTACAACATTTCGTTCCTACCACCCCAATCCATTGCAACAAGTTAATCTAGCCTGTTTTGTAGTATCATCATCACTAATACCGGTACCTGATACAGGTAATTCCGGTATTACTACTTGGTAATTCTGGTATTACTACTTACTACAACTACTATAAGACCAAAAAAGAAAAAACAGGAATTAAGAAAATATTATCTTTAATTACACTAATTAAATTCCTAAATTAATTATTTGTTATTAGTATGTTTAAATTCCTAAATTAATTATTTGTTATTAATATGACAAAAAAAAATTTAAAGTTTTTAAACTTAATAAAAAAAATTTTTTTTACACTAATTAATATATTTAAATCATATACATATGTATAATTAATTATTTAATATTGAACTGATAAAAAAAACAAAAAAACAGATCATAATTTTTTAAATTAACAAATTTTCTTTCCTTTTTTTTACAATGTTTTTAATTTTTCTATTTCAATTAATTCATTAAATGTTAAAATTTAATAATTTAATTTATAGAAAGTAAATGTATATGTTAAAATATTTTATAAAATGTAAATAGTTTATTTACTAATTTGATAATCTTACATTTTTTATGCTGTAAATTTTTTCTTTTTTTTTTACAATAAAGTTAAAATTAGCATAAAATTTGTCAATTTTCAACTCTTTTTTTTCTTATATAATTGCAAAAATATTTATAATATACAAAAAAAAAAAAAAAAAAAAATTTACTGATTAATAATATATTTTAATGTATTTATAAAAAAATAATGATGAAAGTAAAACTTTACTTTAACTGTAGGACTTTTTAGTGGTTTACAAAGATCAGGAATATAATCAAATGACACAGTATAAAATTGTCCTTTATTGACGTATGTCATCCGATCATCTTCTTTACGAACAGATGTTGATATTGGTGCTTCTAATACATATTGAAAGCCCAAACTGTTCTCTCTATAAATAAAAATAAGGAAAAGTTCAAAATAAAAAAAAAAAGGAATTATACATTTAAAATTCTACTTTTAATATTTTATTTTTTAGCAACAAACAAGACAAAAAAGGACGATATTTTAATTTTTTAATTAATTAGTATTAATGAATACAATTATTATTTCATTATTTATTTTGAAAAAAGAAATAACTCTACATTTATTTATTTATTTATTTTTTGAAAAATACTTTATGTTATTTCTTTTTTCTCTTTTTTAATTTGAAAAATTTTATGCATTCATTTTTATTTTGTATTTTTTTTTTTTTTTTTTTTTTGTTTTTTGTTTTTTTGTAGCTAAAAATGATTGGAATTGTTAATTTATGAGTAATATTATTATTTGATATGATTTAACAATTTGCATAAATGCAAAAGAGTATCTGAAAAATATGAGAAAATTTTAAGAACCAGTTTTTATTAACGAATAATTCAGTTACCTATCATAAAATTCATCATTATTTTCTTCTCATCAACTGATAAATTGAAATAGCAAAATGATTTCATTTTTTCTTTTTTCTTAATTTCACCATATTTCCTCCAGTTTTTTCAAAGAAAAAAAATTAAAATTAAAAAAAAAAAAAACAAATTTAGAGCATATATAATTAAATCAGATATATTATTGCATTAATAAGTTTTATTATATATTATTATTAAATTACTTTTATTACAAATTAATTAAAATGTGTGCAGATATCATCATTACTATTACCATTATTATCATTATCATTACTTTTATTATTGTTACTATATTATTATTATACTATCGTTATCATCATCATTATTATTATTATTTTTTATAGCAATAATATATATATTTCAATAATTGTACTGTAAATGAGTTAAAATTTTGATTATTTGTTCATGTTTTTGTTGCATATTTTTTATATAATAATCAAAGTGCGTTCAAATGAAGGAAATAATTTCCTATAATTTAATTAAATTTAATATTTAATATACGAATAATATGAATTCAAAAATTTTTAAGTGAAAATTTACATACACACTATGTGAAATGATTCATGCAATGATAATTGATAAATATATTTTATATGTAAATTTTTAGTAGAAATTATAAAATTTAATTTCAACAAATGTTATTTCTTTTTTCCATGCGCGAGAATTTTATGCATATTAGTTGATCCATATGATTTATTAGCATTTGAATGTTTAAATTTAATTATTTTATTAATGGATGAGAAAAATGGAAATTAGAATAAAAGATTGTTTAAAGTAAGCTAAATACTAGTAGACATTGGCAAGAACTAATTTCTAAATTATTTCATTTCTAATTGAAAGAAAAACGAACGAAACGAATGCATTGATTTATTTTTAAAATTTAACAAGAAAAAGCAAATCTTTAAAAAATTTTGATTTATTTTCTTTTTAATCCAAATTTTTCAAAATTCCTTTTTTAATTTTTTAATTAAAAGAAAATATTTGAAAAATTTTAGATACACGACGAATAAATGTGTAAAGACAAAGTTGAAAAAATGGATGGGCGGTAAATCAAAAGAAAATTTCAATTTTGGATTTTGATTCAATGATGAGAAAATGTCACAAGAATATATGATTAAGGACATATATAATTATATATGTGTGTGTGTGTTTGTTGCTTGTTGAAAATGGAAAATAATAAAATGAAATTTAAGGAGCAAAGATTACTTTTAATTATTAGTAATAATACAATTAAGAAATTTAATAGAATTAAAAAAATTTTATATGCTTAAAAATTTTTTAGGTATAAATAACTATAGTAATGTTAAGATAAAATGTATAATTTTTAATACCTAATGCTTGAAATTTTAAAATTTTGTAAATTAAAAATTTTTTTTTTAATTTTAAATTTTTTCTATTTGGTTTTTTCTTATAAATTCAATTGCAGGTATTAAAACGAACAATTTTGGTATAACAACCGGTGAATCACGATGACTTAGTGAACGTTCAGTTCGATCACTGGTAGCTGATTGAATACCATGTAATACCTCGGTTGCTGCATAAAAATCTTCATTTTTTGTTGCAATTAATGATAAATCAGCACCAATACCGCTATCAACCGGTGAAGGCATTTCAACTGCAGCTTTATATACCCGAGTTTCTTGTTGTTGCTGTTGTTGTTGTTGTTGTTGTTGTTGTTGTTGCTGTTGTTGTTGTTGTTGTTGTTGTTGCTGTTGTTGAGATTGTGGTACCTCTTGTGGATACTGTAGAGCACTAGCACGTTGTTGTTGCTGTTGCTGATACTGTTGATAGTGTTCCATAGGACGTTGCCATTCATGAGCTGTTACAGCACCTTGGAATACGGTTGGGTAATAAAGTGGGGTAGCACTTGATGGAGCTGTGATAATGGACGTTTGACCTTGTGCTAGGCCAATAGCTGCATAATCAGTGTAAACACGACTATAGCTAGGCATTGAATAGTATTGTTCAATTGGTTGCATTTTGCTTAAATCTTGTAAGCTTGGTTGACTAAGTGGTGCCAAATCAATTGGTTCACTTTTTGGTGAAAAATCATGCTGTTGTTGTTGTTGTCCACGACCTATAAATATTTTTACAGATTTTAATTTACTAAACAAAACTTAAAAGTAAAATATTTTTTTTAAATGTCATACACATTTTTTTTTTATCCATCAACAAAAATATAACATATATTTTAAAAATAAAGAAATTTACTTAGAAAATAAGATAATAAATTATGTTATTTGTTTGGAAATATTTATCCGAATAGAATTTATATATATATTGGAATTAATTAAGATGCCAAGAAGAAAAAAAATAGTAAAGTTTTTTTCTTTTTTTTTTTTAACTAAAGAAATTGCTAATATGTACAATAACAATTCAAAATATTTTGAACCTGGAGGAGCAGTTTTGATAACTGATGATGAATCCAAATGAAATTGTTGCTGTTGCTGGGACTGCGACGAGGACATCGTCGCCGTAGCGCGGACTGATGATTGCGAATCGAACGACTCCAATTTCATTCCTTGTAGGACCTAAGAAATTAATGAATTAATTGTAAGAGAGTATTTCATTTCAAAAAATAATATAAAAATTTTATATATATGCACAAATATCTTTAACTTACCAAACATTATTTATTGTTCATGCAATTTAATCGTATAACAGTTGATGTTGTTATTGTTATTGTTGTTATTGTTGCTGTTGTTGTTGTTTTATAAGTGATAGAAATTGTTAAGCAATGAATTTTTTTTTTTAATTTGATTTATTGGGAATGGTGTGAAATTGTGAAAATGGACAAAAAAGAGATAAAAGTTGCTGAATGTTTTGGAATTGATATGAAAGACAGGTTATGTGTCGTAGACAGGTTTTGTGGCTTTAGGCTTGTTACAATCTTATGTCTGGGTCAAACGACAAGTACATAAGAAATAAAGGTCTCTAAGGAACCGGTATCGCCTGGAAAGTATTCGGCACTCTCTTAGAACAACAGGTCAGGGTGACACTGGTTCTTTCAAGGAAAAAAAAAGTGAGGTGAAAAGATCGGTGTTAGGAAATGTGGGGAGGGAGGGAGGAAAGAAGAAGTTTGGTGCATATATATTACTAATGGTTGTATCACAGGTGTTGCTGTGCTTGGTGTTCATGGTGATGATGGTAGCAGTAGCAGTAGCAGTAGCAGTAGTGGTAGTAGTAGTAATAGGAGAAACAGGCTTACCCACTATCCGGTCCTTGTTCCTCCTCGTTGGCCCGTTTTCGTCGTCGTCGTTGGTTTAGTTTTGGTGCCGTACGGCGAGGACTGGATCGTGTCCGCTCCTGCTAGGTGCCTGTTGATGGTGCTGGTGGAGGGCAGGGCAAGTTATCGTCGTTGCTAGTCCGGTATCTGGTATCTGTGAGTGTACTGGTATGTGTATGTGTGTGTGTGTGTGTATGTATGTGTTGCGGAAAGGGCCGGTCCTTCTGGTCCTCTTTTTCCTCCTGTTCCTTCACTTCTCGAACTAAAAGATGACAAAAATTCTTGATTAAGGTTGCGAATACAGAAGTAGTGTCACCATGTAGTGCACACACACATACATACACATACATACACATACCACATACATATACATACATAGATAAACATATACATTGAATTATCGAAAGAACTCGAAAAACCAGTAATGATCGGTATTTGTGATGATGGTAGGATGATTTTGGGGTGGCCGATTGGAATGGAATGGAATGAAAAGGAGGGCGAACTTTTCAACGACACGAGAAAAGGGGACGGTCGTGAGCGATATTGAAAGGTAGAGGAAGAAGAGGAGGAGGAGAAGTTTTGAGAGAAATGTTGAGGGAGGGGTTCAAGGTAGGAATAGGATCAGGGGACAGGTATAATCCAAACAGCTGTCAACTGTTGAATTGCTGCACATACCTGCCATCTATCTATCTATCAACCATATCGTTAATCCATTATTATTTTATTTCCAAATTTGTTGACCGTCCCCGCTTCTTTTCCTCCTTCGCCTTCTTCTTCTGTCGCGCAATGCTGCAGTTACTGCAGTAAAAAAATATTAAATTTCATTTATAAAGAGACGAAGAAAAATGTTAAAATTGTTTGTGTGTGTGTGTGTGTGTGCGTATGGAAAGTACTCATGTCGTCGTCATCTTTTGTTCTGTCACTACTGTTTTACTTCAACTGCTATCGCTATATCATTTTAGTAGTAGAAAAGTTTACTACTGTGTCGCATTGATTTCGTGAGGCCAAATTATACCTACCTGTCTGTCCTCATTCATTTGTTATTGTCATCGAAAATTTTATAGTATGTCTGTGTGTGTGTGTGTATGTATGTGAGTGAGATTTGAAATAAAATGTAAGTTGAAAAGGTGAGAAAAAGGCGAATCTACTTTACCTCAATCATTTGTCAAAACTCTTTCATCAAACCATCAAACAGTGGTTCTTGGTTGATCATCACCATCATCATCATCATCATAGCCATTATCATGATCATGATCATCACCATCGCCATCATCACTATCATCATTATCACCATCATCATCAATATCACCATCAATATTAATCATATCAATATCATACCATCATTATCTCACGATCATGTCACCACTATTATCATCATCACCATCTTCATTATGTTACCATCATCATCATGTTAACATCATCATCATCACCATCATCATCACTATCATCAACATCATACCATTATCATCTCACAATCATGTTATCATCATTATCATCATCATCATCTTCCTCATGTCATGATCATGTTACCATTACCATCATCTCATCATCATGTCACCATCATCATCATTGTCAACATCATCGTCATCATTATCATCAATGTCGCTTGTTGTAATCACTGCCATCGTTGTCGTCATCCGATTCCTCTCAATTCAGTCGCTCATCTGAATTTTCAAACTTGAAGTGATACAAACAAATATTGCAAGATAATAAATCTATCTAATAAAATAGTGGTTTTAATACTCAGTTATTGTTTGATAAGTTTTAAATTGAAAATGACAATGAAAGCTAATGAAAGTAATGATAAATAATTATTTAACAAAACAATATGGAAAGACATGAAAAAACAAAAGCAGCATTTTTATACATATGAAATGACGCAAAATTAAAACTACATTTCATTACATTTTTAATTTCAATTGAGATATTGAATTTGCGACAGCAAAAATTAATATATAATACAATATTTTCAAATCTCAAATCTTTTCATTAATTTTTATACTACATAAATAATATAACTCCATTTAATCAATTTCATTAATTCATTTCATGTTTTGCTTAGTAACATATGCTAACTTCATTTTACGTTTATTTCATTTCTAAAATTTCCTAATAGATAATATTTTTCCTTAAAAAAAGATTTGATTAATCATTAACTAAAATTAAACTAAAATTAATTTTCGTCATCATTTTCATTTAATGATTAATTTAATATAAAAGTAAAAATAAAAAAAAAAAAAAAACAATAAATGAAAGTGCATATGTAAATTAGAAACATTCACTAAATAATGCGATTAAAATTATGAACAAAATTCTTTTCACTTTTTTTACTCAGTTACTACTAATTCATGTTTGCTGTTTATTTAACTACTTATCATATTACATCACACATGTAATAAATGTCATCTAAGCTAACCTGTATTTTTAATTTTGATGTGAAAGTCCAGTTTCTGTGATGTTATTCCATTAGGGAAAAAAAAAAGATGAAATGATGACCTCAATAAACTGGTCCTTCTGTCTGTCTGTATGTTACAGTTAAATTTGAAATAATAAAAGCTAATTTGAAAATTTTGTCAATTCTGATAGCTTATCAAATATTATTTTATGATCAATTTATTAAAGAATAAAAAATAAAACAAATGAATACTTTAATATTTTTTCTTTGTTTTTCTTCGCTTCTTATTTATAAATTATCAATAATTTTATATCAATTATTTCATTACTAAACTTTTAATACAACATTTGGTAAATTTTTTTTTTTTTTAATTAGTTAAGGTATTATTTTAATAAATTATTAACACATTACAAGTGATCGTGATTGTTTTGTTTATTAATATATAAATTGAAAATCAAATGTTAATTTTGAAAAGTCGTATTTTGCCCGAAAATGTTATTATCATTTAATTGTAAAATTATAAAAATGCATTTACTGAGTGATTGATAAATTCTTTCTTGGAAGTGATATTTTCATTTTAATTAATTTATAATAATAACATTTGTTATTGCGCACAGACAAATATGATTAATAAACAGGTTTCATCCATTTAATTGTTAAAAATAATTCTAAGTTTATAAGCGACGCTTATATCATATTTTAATTCACTAAGGTCATGATAATTAAATGATAAGAATTGATAATGAAATAATTTTGCTAGCATATCATTTAATATAACAAAAATAATGGAGTTGAAGAATGCTATCACTTAAATATAATTTTTTTTTTTTTTAAATTTTAAAAGAAACTTATTTTTACTATGATATTTTATTCATTAAATAACTAATTTCAAAGACAAAGACGAAAGAAGCTGTGCAAAATTTTTGTCCTCAAAAATTGTTTTAAATTCTTTTTTTTTTAATTTATAAGACTTATACAAAACTTTTTCCAATTTTTTTTTAAATGAAGAAAAGTGGGTGATATTATAGAGCATTATTATTAAATTTAAAAATATTTAGCAATTCGAGTTTAATGAAATTCATGTAAATGATTGTCAAATCCTTGTTATTACCTATGATAAATCTAACAATGTTATAATTTGAATTTTGTTTGAAAAGTTAACTGTTGTGATTTGTGATTTGTTTACGCACGCAAAAAACCGTATATCATTTATGAAATGCAAAGAAATGGTTGTTGATTCAGTAATTAATTAATTAATTAATTAATTAATTCAGTAATAAATTTATTAATACATTAAATCACTGAAAAATTTTCATCAATTCATTACCAAATTCTCATTTGAATGATTAGTTTTAATAAGAATAAATTCATAATTCATTATTCATATAATACTATGAAATGTTATAAATTTAAAATTTTCTGAGAATTATTAATAATAAAATTAACAGTGATAAATGAACAGTTAATAATATTCAAATTTTTATTAAAAGCATTCAAAAAAAAAAAAGTGAGGATAATAAATTAAAAAAAGAAGAAAAAGTAGTAATTAGCACTATTTTTTTTTTTTTATTTTTTCAAAAATTTCATTCTTCTTTGCAATTTGAATTAAAATAAAGTAGCATTTTACTCGATGCTTCCAAAAATTTTTTTTCCAAAATTTACAATAAAAATATTAAATGCATTATTTATTTTCTACACATTCTTGAATTACTATAAATTTGTATAATTTTTCAATACTATAAATAATTTGAATAAATATAAAATGACAAATAGTATTTTCAATTACAATTGCAAATTAAAGGCGAATTTAAAATATTTTTTTCTGAAAAAAAAAAAAAGAAGAAAGATGACATATCAATCACAGTTTTCAGCTATGTATAAAAAAGTTCAGGTGTGCTTAGGATGTGACAATGGAATTCAAATTTAAATGAAAAATATAATAGGAAAAGAGAATTTTAAATTTTAGATGAATTAATTCAAAACGAAAAATTTTTTAATTTATTTTTTGTTTTTTCTTTTTTTTTTTGCTGTACAATAAAATAATTATTATTTAAAGGACAGAAGAAAAAAAGAAAAAGTGCAGTGCAATTGTCATTATAACAAGCGTGGAGAATTATGCGCATTTGTCGTAGTAATAAGTTACAAAAAGAGAAAATCTTTTTTTTTTTTTCGATAAGATGAAATTTTTTAATTTAAAACTTTTAATTAAAATAAAAAAAAAGAAAATTTTGACATATCTTTTATTTTAAACAATTTTTATTTTTGTTTTGTGTCTAATAAATTTGCTCATTAATTGTTCAAATCTTTTGTATTTGCAAAAAAAAAAAAAAGTATTTGTAAAACTATTTTTTAAAAAATATTAACTTTTAATGATTTTAATTCTTTAACTGTTCAATCTTTCATTTTCTATTTTCTTTTTTATTTATTTTTTTTTATTAAACTATTATGTCATTGTTATAATTTTATTTTTTATTCTTTTTTCAAAATAAAATGAACCAAAATTACATATATTCGAAAATTTTTTTTTTTTTTTGTTTCTCTTTTTGTTTGTTTGTTTGTTTGTTCATAAAATTTATTATTTCTTCTTATTATAATAATAAATTATCCAAAAAAAAAAAATTTAAAGTTCTTCCATTTGTCCATATGAATCCAAAATTTTCTTATAAAGCGCAGAGGCAATAAAACGAGGATACGAATCACGTTGCATTAACGTATAAATTTGACTTTGAGCTTCATCAAATGTA